AGGAGTAAAACTTGTAATAGAAACCCGAAACGTCTCTCAAGACTCTGGTAATGATAGCAATAGGATAATACCAAAATTTAATCATCAAATTTGATACTCATTCCCGACATCTAATGAAGGAGCCCTTGAAATTCACTCAAGTAACTGAAATAGAAGTCCCCTCCTTATACTTCAAACTTATGAAGCTATTCAACAAGAACAATTTATTATTCCCTGATTTAGAGGCATACAAGGACTTTATCTTCTCCAACAAAGTTTTTACATGTGTCTCATTAGAAATATGATTATAAACATTATCTTCTACATATTGTCGAATAAAACCACATACCTGTTGATGTTCAAACTCCCATTCTTCATCAGACATAGAATCCAGCTTTACGGAACTAAAAACTGGTAAATGAAATTTCTTCACAAATAGTAAGTCTTTCATTTTGCCCTTCCATAAATGGTAATAAGAACCATTCAACAATACCATCTTCATCTTTATAATTGACTCCAACATTCAAACAAGTAAAATACCTCTTAACCAAGAGCTCTGATACCACTCTGATGGGAAATTAAGACAAAATAACAGAATAATATGCAGCAAATATAATATTTCTCAAACTTTTAGGAACCTTGAGGATCAACAACAAATATAAGACGACAATCGAACAATAAAGGCATAAAAAGAACACCGATATTTTTAACATGGAAAACCCCTTAATATGAGAGTAAAAACCATGAGTCGTCCATACCAAAGAAAATAGCCCCACTATAATCAATTGAGGTTACAAGAGAGTCTTAAAGTGATTCACAAAATAACGATAACAACCGTAAATCACAAAGCAAACTAACTTACAAATAAGAATAAAAAAGCTGAAAATTTTCTCAAATCTGCAGCTTCAATGCGAAGACCATATTTCTCAACTCAGACCTTGTTTTGAAGATCCCAACGGTTGAAAATTATATATGTGTTGCAAACAAGCCCACAAAATTTCAGCTTGATCCGACGATGAACGAATCGAGGATCTTCATTTTAATGAGACTACTGCAGAAAAAATGCGAATGAGTTTCTCACCTCTTTTCTCTCTTTTAAATCCTTATTTTCTCTCTATTTGTCTTAACTCTAAATTGACACTCTCCATTTATATAAGTGAGATAAATAAGCTATTCATATATGGGATTTCTCCACATAGAAAGGGAACTGAAGCCCAATAACATACACATATAAATGACATCATAGTTTTGTATCTAGTCAATTATGCATTATCAAACAATATAAAAAAACATTATAATGAAACACAAAAAATAGAAGAAATGAAAGATTAAAGAAGATGAAAAAGAAAGAGCAGAAGAAGTGAACGATTAGAGAAGAAGTGATGCATTAAAAACTAAATTGAAAGAAAGAACGATAAATTAAAAAATAAGAAGATAAAAAAGAAAGAACATAAGGGATGAGAGACTAGAGAAGAAGAGCGAGATATACATGAAAAAGAAGATGAGAAGAATGTATGATATCGCTAGGAGTGATTTGAGAAAACTTAAAATGAAATCGTAAGTGTGAGGAATAGACAATCATTCATAATTGTAAGTGTAACACCCTTCTAAAACCCCACAAATATTATAAATAATAAATCAGAGTAATGCACCAAAAAAGGGTGTCACATGCTTCATAAAACATCATACATGCATATCTTGCTCCGTAACACGAGCTTTCAAAAATTAAAACATTTATCTTATGAAACTTCAACATGTCGCAACATAAATATTGTCTTGAAACATCTTTATTAAATACTTCAAATAAAATACCATCACACTTAAAACACCTTAAGACAAAACAAAACATCTCAATACATCATGTCAACAAGGAACATATAGTTTGATTCAAACGATCCCATAGACCCTGATGTTACATATCAGAGTAAGACCCACTATATTCTACAAGAAAGAAATAAATACACTGTGAAGCTGTCCTCTAAGCTTCAACAAACCATTCCTGATTACCTGCAAGTTATCCACGTATATAGGCAACATTTCCAAGCAGAAAGAGTGATTAATCATAAATTATTCTAAAAGATATATGGAATAGATATAGCAGTACAACAACAAATCATCATGGAGTACACATATCATCATATTTCATATATTGTACTCACACCTTTACATCAACAATACGAACCAATTATATCATTATATCATCACATTAACACAATCATCAAACATCACACAATCAGAATGCCATCAACATCACTTAACCAATCATTATACCATGTCACATATATTCAATGCAACGTCATTGACTCATACATGTGGTACAAAAAATTTACTAATGACTCAGTCATTGTTTGTCCAAAGATCTCCACTAATAGGATCGATTACCGCTTGAAACCATAGCACATCATAATATTGCACTCAAATCAACACTATGGGATTTAAGCCATCACTGGACTAACGTCATATCATCATCACTGGACCAATCATCCTAACAACATCAATGGACCGAAGTCCTAATATATGCTATAAATGCATGATGCACAACAACACAATAAAACCTGACCACAACTAGTCAAAGACATCAACATTCATGAATTCATCACATATCATCACAAACATCATAATACACCAGGTATCATCAAAACAACATCAATCCATCATACAAGCATACATCATGTTACATCAATCGCATAATCACATCAATTCACCATAATATTATCATAGCTTATCATTCAAGGTTTAGTTTAACCCTTGAAAGGTATTGAGAATATACATTATTTTACACATTTTATTCCACCTAATTATAGTTCATCGCATTAGCTATCCAACACTTCAAACGACACGTCAAACAGAGTCTGGAAACTTAAGTTACGACACATTCAAGATTCCGCCATCTGCCTCTCGCCTGAGGCTCGCCCAGAGAGGCTGGGGCGAAAAGTCTTCCCCTATACAAAATTCCAGGAGCATTGTTTTTCTTCTATCTTCTTCGCCCGATAAAGCTGTTCGCTCGCCTGGCGAGCTCATCTCGCCTCTGCTTCGCCCGACGAAGCTGGAGCAAGTCCACTGCTCCCATACAAATTCCAGAGGCTCTATTTTCTTTCCACCAGTCCCCTTCGCTTTTCCCTCGGCCGATGCATTAGGGGTGAGGTGTCTTCGTCCAGTGAAGCATCCTGCTCACCCGACGAGACACGCATGGCAACAACCTGCTGTTGCAGTTTTTGCACAGTTCAGTCTCAATTTTCTTATGATTTCACCTCCAAATAGACTCAAAACTCATACAAATCACATATTCTTATCATACAATAACAACACTTCTTAGTACACACTACATACATAAAATCATGACATTATTAGCATCCATTATTCGCAATTTCATCAAAGATTCATCATAATCATCATGTTATCAATCCCTCACAAAACCCTCAAACAACCTACATACATCTAAACCATATATCAATCATAATAACAAGGATAACCCCCTTACCTTAGATTCATAGCAGCAAATCTTAGTTCTCTTCCTCGCGTTCTATCGAGCTATACCTCTTGCCTCTCTCTGCCCTAACTTCTCTTCACTGCTTCTTCCAAATTCTCACGATTGCACAAAATGAGACACTAGCACTCTTTTTCCTAGTTTAACCCTTGGACCATTTCTATGGTCTTCACATCTTACCCTACTTATCCATTCACAATTACCACTTTGCCCTTGGCACTTCCACACTTTATATTCTATTTATTTTATTAATAATAATTCTAAATAATTAAAACTAATTATCTAAAATTATTAAAACATCCAATATCTCTTAATTTCTACTATACTACACATAACATCACATCACACATCATAATCATCAAAACATCCCATATACTCACAAATACTCTTCATAAATTAATTAAATAATTAAATGAATAATCTAATTATTTTAGGATGTTACAGTAAGAATAAGACATAATAGGGTTGAGTTTAGGTTGAATGTGAGTTAAGTGAAGTTTGGGTTGTAAAATAATGCAGTTTGCTTCGGTTTGTAAAATATAAACCGTCAATCAAACCGAACCACACAATTTTATTAAAAAACAATTCAAACACATCCGAATCAAATATGATCTTTTACGATTTTAATTTAGTTTGATTCGATTAATTGTTTTCTATTGAATCACCCTAAAATTAGAGTTGTTAAAATTACAATTTGCAATTCTTTAAATTTGATTTTTTAATTTTAAATATATCATTTAACTTTTCATCTTCTACATAGTCTTTATACTAGAGCTGTCAAAATAGACTAATCCATATAGACTGGTCCACCCGACCCGAAAAATCATAGAGCTCGAGCCTTTAAATTAGAGCTCATATTTTTAAGGGTTTTTTTAACCCTGTCCTAAAAACTCCGTTACCCATTAGGGCTAGTCCGATTAGACCCGCATAACTATACATTTTAAAAAAATATATTAATTTTTGTATTGAGTTAGTCTAAAATAATACATTGATTTTTCTCATTTTATTAAATTTTGTCTCTATTCTATTCAATCTTTATTTTTTAAATATTATATATTAATATAATCAATATTTTTTTTTCTCGTATTCTATTAATTTCTTTTATGTTAAATATTTGAGTATTATTTTTTACAATTTAAATATGTATTATATTTAAAAAATATTATAATATTTTAATGTTTTTATTAAAAAAAAATTGTTTAAGGTTGAGTAATTCGAAATTTATCGAAAGCGAAACTCAAAAAGTAATTTTGAACTCCATATTATAATAGAATTTTTTTGTTCTAATCCTAAAAAGTTCAAAGCCCGTTAGTAGGAGTAGTCCATTTTGATAACTTTACTCTATACTAAAATTTATATGTCTATTTGTAATAGAATTTTTTTTTTGGACAAGTTGTAATAGAATTTGTTAAAAAAAGACTAATCTTGCAAACGTAATCTAACATAAATATTTAATTGGTAAAAGAAAACTTAAATTCAAACTCTGCTCAACTCAATTTTTCAATCGGAACCCTGAATCACGCTCCGGCGCCGGATGGAAGAGATTGACGCATTCTCCTCCGCCGATGCCGACAAAGCTCTAAAGGATTGCGAAGGCATGATTCAGAAGAGTCTCAAATGTATTTCAATTCTTCTTCCTCTCTCTATTACATTTTCTGATTTTAGGTTTTTTTTCTCCCCAATTCTAATATCTTGTTATTTTCAGCTCCAATCGTGAAATTCTTGAGGGAGCACTTGGAGAAAGCTGGGTGTCCTGTTCAAGACAATTTCTTCAAAGCTATTAACTGTGATAAGCTTCATGCAGGCGGTTACATTCAAGGTGAAGGGGTCGGTACATTAACTTCTTTAATAAGTGCTTATTTAACTTGTTTAATTGTTTTTTCTTATAACTGCTTATTTAACTTGTTTAATTGTTTAATTAGTGGTTGAAAAATGTTGTATGCAATGCTTCCTATGATTATACTATTAAGGTTATTTTTCTACATTTTTTTGGAAACAGATAGTTGTGTGTGGAAATCGAACAGAGATGCAAGACGATGTTAACCAGGCTATAACTCATGAGCTTATTCATGCATTTGATGACTGTCGAGCTGCAAACTTGGATTGGACTGATTGTGCTCATCATGCTTGTAGTGAGGTTCCTTTTTAAAGACGCCCCTTTTATTCATGTTAACTTTGATGCAGTTTGATGTATTAGTTTCATTTGATGATTTTTTTTTTTCTTGATGATCATGTGAAACAGATAAGGGCTGGTCATCTAAGTGGTGATTGTCATTTCAAACGGGAACTTCTACGAGGATTTATAAACATACGAGGGCACGAACAAGTACACTATTTCTTTCCTTCTTTCATTTATTTTTAACATTGAGATGATGTGCAACAGTCTTAGATAAATTACTAGATTTGAGTAACTTGCTTTAGTCTTGAATGTTTCAAAGTATTTCTTTGAGATATGCTATGATAATTTGAACATTAAGCACTGGGCAAATTTTCTTCTCCTTTGTCTATGATTACCATTGAAATTGACGGAAATGAAAATAGAACTTATAGGATTAGAGGAATAAAAGTTCCCCTTAACATGAAAGAAACATACGTAACAAATAATGAAGAAAAGTGTCAATGAAACAAAGCTACAAGGAAACTGTTCGGTTAGGATGAGGTGGTGAAGTTATATCTCACTGCGGTGGAGCAGTACTTCTGATGCGACGGGGAGGGTGCCAAATAATGAATTGCTAAGCAAAACAGCAGCAGAGAAATATACAACAACAAATTAGGACCTTGCAAACCACCCTCAAACATGTAGATCCAAGCCATAAATTGGGAGAAGCAAAAGTAGAATCCGGAGTAGGCATAGGATGTGCTAAGGACTGGTTGCTCTTGCTTCTTGCCCACACTAGACCGAATATCCCATAGTCTGTATTTGTAATTAACGACTTATTCATGATACTCGAGAACCTCATCTTTGAACTGCATACAATATTATGCACTTCTAGAGTGTGAATTGAAACACTATTTAAGAATGGTAAATTGAGCCTAGAAGCATTCTTTAGGTTTTATTTGGAAGTTAGGAAGGAAAAGAAGAAAGGGCTATGGGGGATAAAGTACAGAGAAAATGGAATGGTGTTGCTAGTACTCTTCAAAATTTAAACCCTCCTATATTGGAGATGGGTTTTGGACTTTGACAAATTCTCCAAATTATGTCTTTTTATTATTAGAGTCGTAATAAAATAAATTCATTAAAAGCATTCTTCTTCCTATCTGTTTGAAAATATTTCTCCCAAACAAAGTGAATAAGTCCCTTTCCTTTCCCTCCCCTAGCTACAACGCCCTTACCTCCCTTTGCCTTCTAACTCTCAAACAAAGTCTTAGTAGACAAGTGATCAACTTCTGGATATTGCATCTTTCTAGGAAGTTACTTTGGTTAAATGGCAAAAAAATGGTGGCAAGATCTTCTGTAGAATCTGAATTCATTGCTCAAGGCTTGCGTGTGTTGTCATGGCTAAAAAATCATTTGAGATGAATGGAAAGGAAAATTAGATCTTTTATAAATGATTCTCATATTTATTTTTGTAGAAGGGCATATCAAGTGAGAGGAGTATCTTATAGTGAGAGATGAGAGAATAAGATAATGACCCTTAAATAAAAGTTAACGGTTGAGATTAAATCCCGTTTTAAACATATCAGGCGACTTCTTCGTATTCTGCTTCGTTTCTACACGAGTCTTGTTTGCCTCATTCAACAATAGGTTGTTCTCATGGATGATGACAATCATATGGTGGTTAAAATGAGAAATTAAAGAACCGAGTGAATTTGCCCTTTTCATTGTATTTTCTTGGGTGCAAAAAATCATATAGCATACACACCGTTTGTTAAAATTGAATCTCAGCATTATATTATTTTGATGTCTTCAACAAAATATCATTGTTTTGCAGCGATCAATTATTTCCAGATTTCATTGTCTCACAGCGAGCAATTATTTCATCATTGTCTAACACTGTTTTAAATACTGTGTATGTTAGACTAACTAGTTCAATATTGATTTAATTTAACCTTGAAGGAATGCATCAAAAGAAGAGTTTTGACATCATTGTCTTCAAATCCTTATTGCTCTGGTTCAACTGCCAAGGATTATATGGAGTCTGTATGGGATGTTTGTTATAATGATACGGCACCTTTTGATAGAGCTCCTTAATAATTGCTTGTAGTTATAATGTATTTATGGCATAGAATCCATTGTTTCCATTCCTTACCTCACGTGACCAGAAGTGTAATTCAAATTAACGAAAACGATACTTATTTATTTTTAGCTGAGATCTGTTTATCTTTTTGAAATTGTAACTGTATATAGAAACTTTATGGATGTTAGTTGAACACTTGTGCAGTATACTGAATCCAAATTTGGTTCTTGTTACTGGAGTATGGTCTAGCAGCCATTTGTTGCATTATTCGAGCTCTTAATCTTGCTTACAATTGGTCATTCGTCAAAATTGCTTATTTTTTCCCTATCAACTAATCAAGCAAGTTGGTGCAAGTTGTTTGATCTAGATAAGACAAGACGTTTAGAAAGCACATCCTTCATATAATTTCATCTAACATGCAAAATTATGAACATAGAAGACTAAAACTCACATAGAATATGCTGGTTGGAAATAGTTTGGTGCGATCGCTGATAAATCATGTTAATTTTGGTGTCTTCATTGTGAATTTTGTGTATAAAAAAATTGAATGATGACACCTAATATAACCATATCCATGATCAGCCAGTAATATTTGGAACATAATATAAATTCCTTTCTCACTTTGGGCGTAAGGTCCCAAATTAATAACAAAACATGTATAACAATAAATAAAGCATTATTTCTATAGTTATTAATAAAACCGACAACTAAAAAACAAAATATTTCCCATGGCTAATTTCCATTGGTGTGATTCCATTGCTAAATGCCACAATCAAACAGCTGCAAATTACATGCAACATTTTATTGTAAATATCCATTGGTGTTCTCGTCGATCTCAAAGGCCTGCATGAGATAAGATAATACAATACAAACTATGCAATTACAAAAACATTCCTATAAATACACTCACATATAACATTCCTTAAACCCAACCACATTTTTAAACTTCAACATTATAAGTCAACAAAAGAAAAACATGTCTCCCTCCACCTTAAAAGTTCTTCTCTCATTCATCATTTACACATTTACCCTTGTGAACATCTCAAGGGCCGGTGACCCAGACATACTAACCGACTTCATAAGCCCAATAACCGGCCCAATCGACGCAAACTTCTTCACCTACACGGGCTTTCGCGTCCTCGTCGGACCACAAAACCCAAGCCCACCACCTTTCAAAGTACTAAAAGCAACCATGATAGAATTTCCATCATTGAATGGCCAAAGTGTGTCCTATGCTTCTCTTCAATTCCAGCCTAAAAGCATTAATCCACCACACATCCACCCACGATCAGCTGAACTACTCTTCCTTGTTCAAGGTTCACTTCAAGTTGGATTCGTCGACACAACTAATAAACTCTTTACACAAACTCTTTCCACCGGAGATTTGTTTGTTTTTCCAAAAGGTCTTGTTCATTTTCAACTTAACGCTGATGATAAGGCTCCTGCTGTTGCTATATCAGCTTTTGGTAGTGCTAATGCTGGCACTATTTCACTTCCTAATACGTTGTTTAATACCTCTATTAGTGATAATGTCTTGGCTTTGGCTTTTAAGACTGATGTTTCCACCATTCAAAATTTGAAGAAAGGTTTTTCTACCTAGCCAGTAGTAAGGCCTTGAAGAAAGGTTTATCTTATGTTAATTTTTTGTTGTTGTTGTTGTTTTATTGTTCAATAAGTGCTTTTACGTGTAAGTCTTAGAAGGACATTGTTTGATTGTGTTTTCTAATAATCATGTGAAATGGGAAATAAAAACATCAAGGTTACTTTTGTTTGCTCATGGCTTCATTATTCTTGAAATGCAAGAAAACTATTATTAGATGTGACAACTTCATTGAGTAAAAATACATATGACAAATTTAGTAACTAATCTTTAATATTTTAGAGATGACAACAATTATAAGATAGTAGTTGCATGAAATCAACAACAGTTTAGTGGGAAAACTTTTTCTAGTTATTTTGAAGAGTTATCCACCATAGTTTAAGACGTGTAATGCTACGATATTGATTTTATAACCAAAATAAACATAGTTTAAATATTATAATAAAATAACTGAAAATAATAATAATAATAATTTATTTTATTTTTAATGATTATCTACAACAAAACTAAAAAGTAAGTATTATAAATATTATTAAAATAGATTAAATATATTTAATATTTCTACTTTGCGCCTTTCTAAAAAATTTCGTTAAAGAATCGATCCTCTAAAGTTAGAAATTTTAACTTTTGGTCTCTCCCGCAATTTAGCGACGGTTTTTACAACTTATCGACTGAATTTGCGGCGATTTTTAGCGACTACAACTTAGCGACTGAATTAAGGACGATTTTAGCGAAAATTTTAGCAGGAGAGACTAAAAGTTAAAATTTCTAACTTTAGAAGGACGATTCTTTAATAAAATTTTTTAGAGAGACAAAAATGCGCCTAACTTAACTTTAAACATATTTAACCCTATTAAAAAACGACAGTTGAAAACAAAATTGTTTTCAATTTTAGAGTTTAAAAATGTTTTTAAGAAAATATTTGAATATCGCAGTAGAAAAACAAAGGTAAAGAAATTATGCGAAGGTAAAAAGATAAAGGAAGAGATGTCGTTCGAAGCGTTGGTTAACTAATGCGATGAAATTTAGTTGGATGGAATAAAATGAGAAATAAGAAGTATTTACCCAATACCTAAGATATAATGAAGTTAAGTTTCCCGTGTTGAATTATGATGATACTTTGTTATTAAGATGATATAATGATGATGTTTTGTTTAATTATGACCATTAGAAGATGTTATGATGATGTTTTGTTTATTATGATGATATGATGATGTTGTGATAAATTCATGAATGATTATGCGATTTGACTAGCCGTGGTCATATTTATTATGTTGTTGCGCATCATGCATTCATGGCATGCTTTAGGGCTTTGGTCCAGTGATGTTGATAGGACTTCGGTCCAGTGAATATGATAGGACAATAGTCCAGTGAAGGCATCAATCCCATAGTGTGGATTCAGTGTAAAATTACGAAGTACTCTAGTTCCAAGTGAGAATCGGTCCTATTGGTGGGGATCTTTGGAGATAACAATGACCGAGTCATCATTGAAGGTTTGGTACCACATGCACGAGTCTATGATGTTGCATTCCACTATAGGTGACATTGCATAATGATGTTATTAAATGATGCTTGTTGATAAACGGTGTTTCAATGATACGATGTTATGTATTGATGATGTGGTGAAGTTATGAGTATAACATGAGGTTTTGGTGATGTGTGACGCCTTGCCTATGTGCATGTCTACTATATTTATTCCTTATGTCTTTTATAATAATTATGATTTACTCACCCTTTCTGCTTGGAAATTTTGCCTCTATATGTGGGTAACTTGCAGGTGATCAGGAATAATTCGTAGAAGCTTAGAGGATAGCTTCAGAGTGCATTTATTTTCTTTTTGTTGAATAAAGGGAGTCTTGCTCTGATATGTAACATCGAGGTTGAGATTGATTGGTTGTGAACCATGCACGATTTTGTTATATTGAGATTTTGTATTACTTTCATGACTTTTTCCATGTTTTAGATCATGATGTTATAAATACGAAGTGTGATGATTTTACTAATATTTGAACCACCTTTCATGTTATTGAGATTATTTTATGAAGAAGTTTAAGACTCTTATTTTCGCTGCGAAGTTCGAAATGAAATGGTTATGAATAGCAAGGATTATATTTGAGTTTTAAAATGTTGTTGTAACACGTGTTGCAGAGCATGATTATTTGATATATGATGCTTATGTGAAGATGTGACATCCTTGTTGTTGTTTTACGTCTATTTATTTATTAAAAATATTCGTGAAAATCGTGGGGTTTTAGAAGGGTGTTACAGTGGTCTCCTTGAGTGTAAAATGCCACTTTCTTCTCCGTTTTTCATCTAAATTACTTCGTTTCTTCGCGTACGACTCCCATTTGGTCAAATACCTGAAATATAGACAAAATACCAACATAATACTGGAAATGGAGGATAAAAAAACAATAAAACATATGTAAATTGAGTCAAATATATAATGTGTTTTGGTGTTGTCAAACTCTCCCACACTTGAACCATTGCTTGTCCTCAAGCAAAATGAAAGTAAATAGTGACACTCAATAGCTACTCTGGGCTTCAATACTTTACTTTGAACAAGGCTAAGCCAATAGGTACTGATTCACAAAAACAAGGGCATCGTAATAACACATTCAGCATTTTGCGGGCATAAGTATCCTTCCTATACAAACCAACATATATCATATTATTATGCTTAAGACTAACTTATTCATCCTATTTATTTCATCCTTTTTCATCTAGGCGCAATCATATTATGTTTGTCATCTGTACATACTCATAGTAAGGCAATCAGTTAGTGATTCTGATCCTTTGCAGGGGTTCTGGTACATTAATTGGTGTAACCCCTTTATTTTCCCTATTATAGTTGCGGGGGATCAGACCGTAATCTGCCCTACCAAGTTCAACATCAGAAACCTCTGAACAAACTAACAACGAGTATTTTATTCTATTTTTGCAGGTTCCGCAACCGTTGGATTAAACGACCTGGTGGGGGTCACCTAACTTAGAAGTTTCATTGCCTATTTTCAATTATTATAGTAGAAAAAATAAGGATCATTCACTTATATTCATCGGCTTCCCCATGTAGAACATGCTTAAGCCGGTGCCAAATGCTAAAATCAACTACTTAAGGATTTATTTTGGGGTGAGAGTTTAAGGTTAAGGCATAATAATTATCCAGATCGATCTCTATAATTTGGAGACTTAAGGTGTTAAGACGATACCGATATTTCAGGATATTTCCCTAGTCTCTATAACTTGTCCTAAGCTTGTCTAATAACCCATAAATTCAAAACAAACACTGTCTTTTTTTGCAAATTTTTTGGTATGGCTCAAGAAAAGGAAAATATTCAATAAAAAGCAAAAAAAAAACACACATAAAGACTCAACATCGCATGCAATGACTCGATAAGACATACTAAAACTAAA